CCCCACTTAGCCTGTCCTTTGGCTATTTCTTTCAAAACCTGGTTCGATATGAATTTCCTTTAGACAGTTTTCCTTGACTAGCTTACTCCCTGTTTCTCTTGACCTCTAGGAGTTTATGTATAAGCTATATATTATCATGGACTTGGAAAGTGTTTGCTTTTGTTATTTTTATTCAGTTTAGTGATATATTTTGTAATATTTTATTATTTATATAATTATATCTTATTATAAACCCCTGATTTTTCCTTATGATCATGAATTATAGCTATTATTATATAATGTAAGTATGTAATTGGTTGCTTAATGACTGTCTCTCCCGTTAGAATTCAAGCTCTTTTGGCTGTTTATTGTTGTATCCCAGAGCCTAACAAAGTATACATAGTTAAGTGCTCAATAAGTGTTATCATATCTTTGAAATACCATTCAGGATATTAGTGGAATGAAAATGTTCACAAATGCTTGCTGATTTTTTAAAATACTATTTTGTGTGGAATCTCTCACGCTCTTTGTAACAGTTTGAACGTATTTGGTTGCAAGATGCAGAAAATATAACTAACAGAGACTTAAATCAAAGGACACCAGCTGTTTGCTCAGCCCTAAATCCGAAGGTGGGCAGTTCCAGTATTGGTATGGCAGTCCAGTATTGTCATCCAGGACCTAGGTTCTTCCCAGTCTTCATTTCTTAGCTATCTCAAGCTGACTGGCCTGCTACCTCAGGCGTAAGGCGTCACAGGCCAAAGATGATGGCCACATTCTCATATTTCAATGTGCAAAGCAAAAAGTAAGGCGATATATATATATATATATATATGTATAAAAACAAAAAACGGGTACATCTCCTCGATCTTGTCAGAATCCCAGAAATCCCCCAGTCCCAGCAGCCTTCTCTCCATTCCAATGACAAAAGCTGAGTCTTGTGCCTACTTCCAGACTGACTGTGGGCAGAGGGAACGCAATGCTATTAATGGCCAATCCTAATTCATTCCAGGTTTTCTGGCAAAAAATAGAGAGAAACTGCTGAGTATGCAAGCAACACTGCGCCTGCTCTTCTGCTATGTTAAATGAACCACACTAACGCTCTGTTTTCCTCAGAATCCTCAAGCTCTTAAGATTCTTCAGGCTTTTTCTTTGCTCTCTCTACATTTTAATCAAGTCTTTTCTTTCAGAAATTTACCTCCTTAACATTGCCTTTTGAAACATTTACTTTCTCCACCAGTGGGTTTCTTTCATTGACTTGTTTACATACTTACTCAATTTCTGCATTCTTATTGTTTTTTTTTTTTCAAAGCACCAAATCATATATCAAAAGAGAACAAATTTATTTTGTCTCTTTCATTCCACTCTACGTATATACTTCTGTTTCTCAACTGTAGTAGGAGTTGCAGAGGCCAAGAACACATTGTCTGCTTTTTAAAAAATAATTGCCAGCATCATTTTACAGGTGCTAAATGTACTTGAGGTGTCCTTCCTCTTCATGGTGAATCCAAGGCATACAGGATTTAATAGGAAGCCATAGGAATCAGGGTTTTATAGCTAATAAATACTGGTCATATTATAAACATCCTCTGCTAACTTCTTTCCATTAAATTCTTTGTTTATTTGCTTCTTACTGGTGTCGGAAGTCCCAGAACACAGTGTATTTCCCACCTGATTCCACCTTTTTCAACATCTTTCACAGAAGGAAACGATCTGGGTTTCCATGGTAACACAAGTGTGATAATTGAAGGTATCTGGCTATAAGTGAGATAACTCCCTTTCAGATTCAGTGGGAAGAGAAGAAATGAAGTTTTTTTTTTCTTCTTTTTTTTTTCCCTCCTAGCAATGCACTTCTGAAACTAAAGAGATTCTGCAGTGTCAGTGTACAGTGTTAAGTTTTCACTATCATACAGATATACAGCTCTTGGGAATAATTCAATTTTATTTTGTCTCATTTTTACCTTGTCTTTCCCACAAACGAATGAAAACATAAGTTTTTGTTTCTAAAAACACTCTCAGAATAATGCTGCCATACGAATGAATGTGATTAAGGGATTAAGAAAAAAAATTTATCTCCCACCCAAATCCTCAAAATTCTCTACATGTCCAGCCACAAATCTAGTTAAGGACAATCATCTAAGCCAGAATAGGTGAAAATATATCCTCCTACCTGTTTCCTGTGTGTCATGGTGGTTAAAAATGAAAACTGAGGACTGTCAATATGAAAAACATAAATGAGCTGCAACTAACCCATGGGCTGCAGTCTCTACATTTCTTCTCTCCAAAAAAGCCTTGATGAAAGGTTGGGGGAAATAGACTGAGAAATGTCAAAAAAAAAAGCTCTCCCACTCTCTATTATGCTAAGTGGAGTGACTAGGGAGTCCATTTACTATTTTTGTGACAACTTCTATCAGATGCATGCCAATCCAGAGCTTCCTAATTTCTGGGGACCTAGGAATAATGAAAACAGTTGCTTAAGGTAACCTTCTGGACTTACAATCCCAAAGCAAATTTCTCAAAAAAAAAAAAAAAATCACTGGACCTTTATTCTTTGCAAAGTGAGGAGATTTTCAGCTCCACTATAATGCAAGGTACTACATGAGTTGTCATAATATAGAGTTTGGTGCTTCTTGGTTCTATTTGACCCCAACAAGTCTAGGAACTTATCACCAAGATGCAAAATTTAGATCCTAAAAGACAAGTTTGTCTATCCTCAGAAAATAAGTATAGCTGCTAAGTTAAGGTAACCACTAATAAGCATACTAGTTTTACACAAAATATTAGACTTCTAATAAGCCAGGTGAACACTGTTCACCTAAAACATCCTCTTGAAACATCCCTGCCAAAGTAGCTCATGAGGCATCTATGTGAGCTCTCTCAATTTTAATTCACCCTTTTCACATTATTAGCCTAGGATGAAATATCAGGTCCTCTTTGGTTTCAATTCCCTTAAAACTTTCGTGATTCTTAGTTCTTTCTGCAATCTGCCTTCACTGCTGATTCTGGTGGCTCAGACCCAACCTCTCACATTTTAATGTAATGTAATCAAGAAATGTTGAGTTGTATTTTATTACATATTTTTAATTTGACAGGATGCTTGTCCTCAACTATTTTGAATAATTATATGGTGTGTTATACTACAGTAAGGTAATGCAAATAAGTTTTCCATTCTAATATAACGGAGCAGAGGGCAGTAGGACACTGTTAAACCTAAGTACGTCTTTGTCGTAGTTTGATGGTAGAAAAGATGGTAAAAGAATACCCAGCTTTTAGAGGAAGTCAGACCAAAATCCTCTCTACATGATGACCTTGTGAGAAAAAGGAACGGAGGATAGGTATGCCATCATCTAACATTAGAACTACAGAAACTTATTATTTGCAGGGCATGTGAGAGACTCGTGAACAGGTGTAGACTAGTTTGAGAACGATATAGTTTAATGAACGTAAATCCAATAACCAGTTACTACAAAAAATATTCCAGTAATATTTGGGAATGTAAGGTCTTGTAAGTTTGACCTTACAGGTAGGAGAGGGTGGTGCGTAACTAAGATCTAAAGCTTGCGACAGAACGCTAAGATTTAAAATTGAGGTCCAATGCAACTGCTGCACGATGTCTCCTTAAGGACCGGAAAATTTCTCACCCTGAAGACAAAAGTCCCTGTTTTCTCGATTCAGCCCACGATTCAGCCCACATCCCTCGGCATCATTTCCATGCCCATCATTTAGGCAGAATGCCACGGAGACGACGTTAAAAGTAGAATTCATCACTCTTGCCTGCAACGCATCTTGTTCTCTTGCCAGAACCGGGCACAGCCACTGGCCGCTCGGTCCCTGCCCCTCCTAAGTCCCGCCAGAGCGGCCCTGTCTCCATACCACCGGCCCTCGGTGGCAAGGAAGTCGCGAGTTCTGGTTGGCTCCGCCGAAGCCTTCGTCATTCATCATCTCACCCACGATTGGCTGGCAGATTGCGCGCAGGAGCAAACGCCCAGCCTGGAGAGGCCCTGGGAGGTGGGTTGGCTGATCCTGCGACCAGACTTTTTCCCGATTGGCTGAAGGCGGGGGCGTCACGTGTTATGAGGCGGCTCTCTATTGGTCCTGAGTGGAGTACGGATACCCGATCTGGTTGGCTAGGATGAATTCCCAGCTTCCCAGTAGCTGCCCCCAGCTGGCTGTTGCCATGAAGTGTCCCTAGGCCTTCCGCCTGCTGCTCGGGTCTCCGCTCTCCAGGTTTTCGATGCGACAGGGTGGCTGACAGGGCGTGGGAAGAACTCGACTTCAGCTGGCACAGAGGAGGGGCGGGGCTAGAGGGAAGGCGGGCAGGAGTCTGGTGACGTCATCGGGCGTGGACCGGCTTCCGCGGCTGGCGGCCGCCGCTGAGCGCCCTCGGGCACACTACTGGAGCGGCTTGTCGCTCCTCTGTGTCCTAACGCTTACAAACAAAGCTTCATTTCGTGTTTCCAGGGCCGCAGGCCGAGGCCTGAAGGTGCTCGTCCCCTTAAAAAAACCTCCACATCGTTATGTTAATACAAGATAAAACCAAAGCTCCCGAATGCTGGCAGCCGAGGTGGCGTCGGGCAAAGGCCCTCCGGCCAAGGGCTCTCTTGGACCTTGGGCATCTATTCTCCTCACTCCCTGCCTGGAGGCTGCTCTGGCCCCTCTATCATCTCGTCTGGGCCAAATTCTGAGCGTGGGAGACACGGGTTGCCGCTGCTCCCCTCTCACGCAGGCAGTGCGCACACTCCGGACGCAGGCCCCGGGGGCTGAACCGGGCGCGCAGGGCGAGGTGCTGCTGGGCGGCGCGGCGCTTGTTTATCCAAGCGCGGGCAGACGCTTCTGCGCCGCTGAGGGCCTCCCGGGAGCGCGCGCGGCTGGTCGCCTAGGCGACGGCGAGCAGCGCGGCCCGCCGCGCCGGGCCCGCCCGGCCGCGCTGCGGCTGGGCTCGGGCGCGCGCTCGGGCGCTGGGGAAGCGGCGGCGGCGGCGGCGGGAGCTGGCGTGGAGGCGCGAGGGCGGGGCGGGCGGCACTGCGGCCGCGGCTCGGGCGGCTCCGGCGGCTCCCGCTGCTTGCTCGCCCTCAGTGCCTGCCGGCGCCCACGGGGCCGCATCGCCGCCCGGCTCGGCCCATGCCCAGGGCCGCTGCTCCCTCAGCTGCCGCCGCCGCCGCGGCGCCCGGGGCCGCCGCGCCGTGAGGTGGGGCGGCCGCGGGAGGCGGCGGGCCGCGCGGGGCAGGGTCTGGGGGCGCAGCGCGGCCGGCGTAGGTCTATGTCGCGGGCGGCGGCGGCGGCGGCGGCCGCGGAGGGACGATGCGCGAGTACAAAGTGGTGGTGCTGGGCTCGGGCGGGGTAGGCAAATCCGCCCTGACCGTGCAGTTCGTGACCGGCACCTTCATCGAGAAATACGACCCCACCATCGAGGACTTCTACCGCAAGGAGATCGAGGTGGACTCGTCGCCGTCGGTGCTGGAGATCCTGGACACGGCGGGCACCGAGCAGTTCGCGTCCATGCGGGACCTGTACATCAAGAACGGCCAGGGCTTCATCCTCGTCTACAGCCTCGTCAACCAGCAGAGCTTCCAGGACATTAAGCCCATGCGGGACCAGATCATCCGAGTGAAGCGGTGAGCGGGCTGGGCGCGCGCAGGGCGGCCCCGCAGCGTGCCGCGCCGGGGGCTCCGCGGCTGCGCCCGGAGTCGCCGTCCCGGGGCCGGAGCTGCCCGCGCGGGGCCGTGGGGAGGGGGCTGCCTGGGGACAGGGCTCCGAGCCTCGGGCCGTGTCGTCCTCCTCTTCCTCCTTCGTCTCCAATGTGAGTGCTTTGTTTCACAACTAAAATTTGGCATCCGGTTAACCCACAGAACGGCTCTTTGTCTCTTGGATGTTATTAGGAGGAGCGCTTGTGCAGAACCCCAAAGGAAACAAAAGTTTGAAACTTGCCGAGGGGAAAGGGGGGTGGGTAGGCTTGTGTTGGGAAGAGAGCAGCTGTGCAGATAGAGGCGAGACATTTGCAGGTTGAACCAAAGAGAAAAATCTACCTTTGCAGTGTTCGACAGCAAAAATTGCTCACACCTATGCTTGTAATAATGTCAAGTCGAGAGGGAAAGAGACCTTTCTCGTCTCATAAAAGATTTAATGGTGCCAGGGCGTTTTACAAAATTGAACTCTTTAATTTAGTGTGAAACTTTATAGACAGATTATCAAATTATTTGGAGGCATAACAGCTCAGTGGGGTTGGGAGAGTATTAGCAAATAGGAGCACAGATATGCCGTTCACATTAAGAGAATGCAATTTTATTGATTTCTTTTTTGTTATTTTAAATCTAGCTGCCTTACACCCCCACCCCCACCCCAAAAGCATTTGGAAACACGCTTCTTCAAAGGTGTGACTCCAGTATTAACTAATTTAAAGTTAATGCAAGTAAGATGTTCCTTGATACAAACTCTTATAAAGTATGCATTTTGGAAATATGGCTTATAGTTTAAGTGTTTTAAAATGTTTGTTTCCTCTAAAATTGACCACATTTTCCCTATAATTTCAAGCATTAGAGAGGTGATAATATCTTAGTTCAAAGTTTTAGCAGATTTTTCTAATTATTAATTACACATTACTATTTGGTCTGGCTCATGTTAATACTTGCTGATAATTTTAATGTCTTTTTTTTTTTCCTTCCTGGCTTATTCTACCTATACCCCTAATTTGAGGACATTCACAGAAGAACAATTATAAGTGTACTGTAGACACAATCACATTATAAGTCAGCTTGGATCTACTGATTTTGAAAGAGCAAGGACCAAGTCATGTGTACTCAGGGAATGCTCAAAAATTCATTACAAGTGGTGGTTTATTAATGCCACATAATAGATCAAAGGGAACACCCTCTCCCTTAACTAATTGAGTATGCACTTTAATAGCTAAACTAAAATGTTGTATGTTATTCCTTGTGTTAAATTCCAAACTAGAATAAAGTGAATATTTTAATAGTCTCTCCTACTGTTCTAAGATCTGTGAATTTGATAGCTTTTTACTTCTCTAGTCTCATTTTCTTAAAGTTAACTCTTTATAGCTAAGAGATGAACAATTTTAGTATTAAAATTAGTATATGTATAACATTTATGTGAGTTAAATCCTTGACTATTACCCCTCTCTCAGTACCACTCAATTAAAAAGAAAAAAAACAAAGTACAGAACAGGGTAGTCTCATACATTGTCACATGTTGATGTCAGGCCAAATACATAGATCAAGTAATAATCCAAGTAAATGCAACTACCTCACCCTTCACATTTAAATATATACATCTAAAGATATAAAGTTGTATATGTATGTTGATAAAGTCACGTACCTAGGGCTAACTTTTTGACACAGCCTAGGAGATAGATATAGTAAAATACCATTGGGTAGTATGGTCTACATAATTTTGTAGTTTCTTATAATTTAGTACAGATTTATTTATCACACTTATAATAATGGGTTAGTCTAAACTTAGTATATTGGAACAATCTTCGTTTGCAGTATGACCCCAGAGAAAAAATAGGTGAAATTCTACTTGCCCATACATCCTTTCACTCATTAGTCTCAGTTCTTGATGTAAAAAGACCATTGATCTGCTGAAGTATATAGTTTATAAATTCCTTTCACTAGAATTCACCCATTGTATATGTAAGAAACACTTTGGCCCTTCTTTGTCCCAGAAGTAAGGTATTTTATATTTAACCTTAGCCTGATCTTCTGGCTTCCCATCATTGATGGAGAGGACATTTAAACCAGGATCTGTATGAGTCCATGTAGCCTCTTCTTTACCAGTGTCTTTCAACTTGGTATCTACTGGCAAATTCAATATCCAGCCTTTGGTCTAGGTCCTCATTGTTCAATAGAAATATAATGCAAGCAAAAATACATATGTATTTTTAAAATTTATAGTAGCTAATTTTTAAAAAGTGCAAACAAGTGAAATTAATTTTAATACATTTTGTTTAACCTATTTTGAGACTAGTATTTCAGCATATAATTAATATTCAAAAATTATTGATATATTTTACTTTCTTTTTCATACTGTGTTTTTGAAATCTGGTCCGTATTTGACACAGCACATCTTAATTCAAAGTCGTCACTTTTCAAGTGCTACATGTCACCACAGGCTGCCATATCAGACAACACAGGTCGAAGGTGTGTATAGTTTGGGGAAATGCTTGCTTGTTTCTCCAAGCTTCAGTTTCCATATCTATGAAATAGAGAATAGCGGGCACCATTCAGAGTTGTCGTTAGAATTAAATGAGATAATGTGTTTCAAGGTGTCCAATGCAATACGTGGTACACAGAAATTGCTCAAAAAATTGTAGCTGTTGTTCTCACTTTTATTAATATTAACATTGTTGTCCTACCTTCCTTAAATTTTACCCTTGATGTAATGGAATTTTAGAGGAAACAATTTAGATTTGTAATTGCATTTTGGACTTAATTACCCAGTGTAGACAAAATGAGACAAAAAAGCCATTAGGATTAAAACAGAACTTAGAAAAATTTTAGTATCTCTTAAGATATTTTCCTTTATGAAGGCTATGATGGAAAAAGGTAAGAGGATGTTATGTCACTAATGTATTTCCAAACAATGAAATGAGCTGTTGACTGGATTGTTATTATTTGGTATGTTTCACTTTTTAAAAATACAAAACCGACCCTTAAATGTTTATAGGTGCATACATAGACATACCCATACACAACCTCTAGTCAAAGCCAAGTGGACCAACTTAAAATGGCTATATTTATACATTTATATGCTTTCCTTTTTTAACTTTGAGTGAGAGTACACACACAGAGAAGTGATGGGAATACAGAAAATATTTTTCAATTGAAATAAAACTAGAATTTTTTCTGATTTTGTAATTGCTTCTCTTGTTCTTTTCCATCCCAGGGTTAGAACCACTGTCTTGGGACATGATATACAAGGCTTATTTGTTCTTAGGATGCAACCCACCAATCTTCAACATGACCTTCCAAAGTGCAGCATGCTCTTGTTTCTCCCAGCCTGTGCAGCCTTGTCTCTTGCAGCCCTCCTCATCCATTGTACTCCAGCACCCAGACCTTATTTTAATTCCTTGAAAGTGTCTCTGGGTTCTCCTTTCTTCCTATAGAAATCTTGTATCTTTCTGTAGAGTTAATTCCTACTCATTCTTTAGATTCTTTCACTCCGCTTAAAAGATTTTCTCCCACGAGGGAAGCTTTCCACATCTTCCCAGACTAAAGTAACTCCTTTCTTGTCTTCCCACCCTAGACTAACTTCACACCTCACCCCTTCCCTCACTCCACCACGTATACTTTAGACATCAGTGCACCCTGTCCTTTCCCTTTTTTTTGTAGCACTCATCAACATTTGATTATCTACGTGATAAGTTATGTGTAGTCTTTCTCACTAAACTCTTAAGCCCATGTGGTTAGCAGAGCTCCTGGCACATAGGAAACAAGAAAAAGTGTTGAAAAAAATGAATGTTCAGAAAGAAAAGTATTTGTATTGTTCTTTGGCCTCAGTTTCTCCAAACATTTTAATTTTATAGGTGGAGGAGATGATTTTTTAAAGCTCATTATACAGATGGAGAAGATAATCTTCATTCAGCGCTAACATTCTGTAAGGACATTTCTAGTTGGGGCAACAGGGGAAGAGGTAAAGTTTAACATGAACCTCAAAGAATCAGGACCATGATGTATTCCAGATGGAGGCAATAGCTCAGGAAATGCATAGAATATGTTTTTTTGGATGTTAAATAGGCCAGATTGGCCAAACTAGGAATTTATATAGAAGGTAAGGGGAGGTAAGGTAAAAAATTTAAAGCTAAATTATAGAAGGTTAAAGACTTTGGACTTGGATCCTGTAGTCAAGGACCATAATCAAAATTATTATAGAAATAATAATGTGATATGATAGATGACTTAGTGGTAATAGACCACTCCATACAGGAGGAATAGTCATGAATACTGTGATAATATAGTTTCTGTAGGAAGTGCAAAGATCCTGAAGTAGCATGGTGTCTGTAGTAACAGAAAGGAAAGAGGGGATGCAAGTAATAAAAAGAATGAATTAAACCACCATGGCCGGCTAATTTCATATATATATATATTAGTTGGCCAATTAATTTCTTTCTATTTTTTTATAGTAGAAACAGGGTCTCGCTCAGGCTGGTTTTGAACTCCTGACCTTGAGCAATCTGCCCACCTCGACCTCCCAGAGTGCTAGGATTACAGGCGTGAGCCACCTCGCCTGGTGGTAAAGGGGGAAAAAAAGGTCAAAAGTAACCTTGACATTTTGAACATGAGTGAATGGGATTATGGAGGAATAGCTAGGGAAGATTATTTCAATTTTGGAGATGGTAATCATCCATATAGCTATGCCTAATAAATAATTAGAATATCTGAATAAAGCCTGAAAGGTCAGTTTATGAATATAAGGACTCAGGATCATCTGTATAATTCATATTGGGAGAGTAAGTAAAACCTACTAGGTAGAGTATATAGAGAGAAATGAATGAATATGGCTAGGAATAGAAATCAGAAATGAATGAATATAGCTAAGGATAGAACTTGGAGAGTTGTAAAATATGCAGTGGAGACTTCCTAGATTACAGCAGGCTAGA